ATTTTTTTCTTTTCTAGAGTTCCTCTAGTAAGATGACATAAGAGCGGAAGGACGAACGCCATTGCCAGGTGTTGAGTACTGAAAACAGCACAATTTGAGTTGATAGTCCGATTTCGCGTTCGTGCCTTTTATACCATGAAACAGTTGTTTACACGCACCAATTCACAGATTCACTACCACATTGAAAATGCAAATGACAGCGTTTAAAAGGACTCGAAATCTGGAAATCGATGCCCCTCATGATTTGACTCTTATTAGAGGGATTCTAGTTTCTGAGAGAGATCCTATATAATCAGAGTTTGAACGCGGGCACAACTTCTTATTGGTTCTTCACTTTGATTGGTTCTCCACTTGTATTCTTCGAATAGTGTCACGTACACTAGTCGGAAAACAAGTGCGAAGAAAAGAAAGAGATAAATAGTTATAAACAGATGAATAAAACCTGTATCAAAAAGGTTAGAAATCGGTTCCGAGATATCGGACAAATAAAAAAATTAATAAACTACAATTGCACAATTCGGACAATTGATCAACTCGATTGGTTTCTTCAGGTATTGTCGTCACGTATTGCCTGTCTTGTATTCTAATACTTTTTGCGCATTTGTACGAGAAAGCAATATCCGTTATCTCTTTCTATCCGCCATTTTCGGTCCACATTCGCCAAATTTTGATTATAAGATTTTTAGTTTCTGAGATATTTAGACTTAAAGTTTAAAAATGGTGTCACTTTTCTATCATATGAAACAAAAATTTGCTGCTTTAAAATATATTTTATGACTTTCTATGCGAAGCAACTTTCATCCTACCTGCTCCTTTGTTTGGGGAGCGCGAATTCCACCTCACTTCTTCCCCTAGAAGCGTACAACACGCGAAGCAACTCCTATCTCCACTCCCCTGCCAAGGGACATACTTTCCATGCGAAGCAATTTGGGGTGTGGAATTCGCTTCGCGTGGAAAATCGAATGTTCCTTGGCAGGGAGGGAAGGTGGGAATCACTTCGCATGGAAAGTCGTAAAATATATTTTAATAAAACAGAAAATTTTTGTTTTATTCATATAGTAAAAAAGAGACATCATTTTTTTAAACTTTATTTGTTAATAACTTTTTAACGAAGAACGATCGCCACTTAAAGCCTATTGGAGGTCACTTAGAATCATGATCTTGACAACATATGTTAAGGTCAAAATCCTGAGTGTCCTCCCTTAATATAAATAATCACTCAGCTAAACTTCTTGCACTTCATTTTTCGTCTTTTTCTTTTCATGTTGAGGAGATAAAGAAAATTATTATCATTATTTTTCCTTTGCTTTCCTTTTTTATAAATAGAATAGAAAAAATATACCGGATATCTGGAAAATATCCGGTATCCGACCAGGTAATTGCCCTATCGGATATTCAAGCGGATATCCAGAAAGAATGTGACATTGGATATCCAATATCCGATAATTTTATCCGATCCGGTATATTCCTAGTGAAAGATAGTATGTGGATTCGAGGAGAATGTGAATGGCAGCAGAATAAAAACTCTCAATTCCAATACGCGCGAATAATCCATATCGAATATACAATATGTATCAACTATTCCCTGTTTTTAACTCCTATGTATCGTGCTCTCTGATAATCGAAACTATTTAAAGTAAATTAATTAATGGCAAATTTATTGACATCATTAATAGAAATTAATGTTAGATATATTTATAGCCATGTTGCCAATTGTTGCTAACTGCCTAATTAATTGAAAAATAATAATCATGTTTTACTTGATACTGGAAGTCTGTCTCATTCTGTCTTATTCCGTGAGCTGTATATACTGGAGTAATTTTTTCCTGCCTCTTGCTTTCTCCATTTCTGAAAATATGTAATATGGAGGTAGCCAAACTGCGAAAATGAGCTAGGAGACAGAAACCATCATAACCTTCCCCATCGTTTCTTTTTCTTAAAAACCGATGGGAAAGGGAAGACATGTGTATATTCCAGTAAAGAGCTCACAGAATAAGACAGATGAGACTTTCGGTTTTCAGTGTCAAGTAAAACACGATTATTGTTTTTCAATTAAATTAGACAATCAGTCGATCCTTAACTATAAGTATCTAATATCGATTTCCATTAATAATCAATTAATTCGCCATTATAATTAATTCACCTTAAATAATTTTGGTCACCAGTTTATAATTAACACATATATCTGATTTCGGAGAACAAACGAAACATTTTTTTATCAATGTTAAATTTTTCCCTCTTTTTCGAATAATTTTTAAATTAAATTTAAACTGTTTTTCATACGTGTATATGATATCTCAAAAAAACACAAAGTTAATTTGTCAATCAAAATTGCTCTAAAATGATCATTAAGAATCACTTTTCAATCAGATATGAATCACTTTAATATTATTTTGGTGACATTATCGTGATCTGTTCCGCTTGGGAATATAATATACATATATGTGTATACAAGGTAAGGCATTTAAATTTTGAGACAATTTAATATCTTGAATGCATTTTAGAAAAAAAACAGCATTGTTTCGTGCTGTCATACAAACAGCAGAGAAGAAAATCAATTGACAACAAAAAGCAACATAAAACGATTGGATGGACCACTATCTTCAAGATAGAAAAGAATATTTTCTTCCTTGTTGTACCGAGTGAATAACCAGCTCCAAGTGATATATCTTGAGTATAACTAATGTCGGTAGTACTTAAATTTTGAGTACTCATAATTCAGGAAGTTTACCATTGCAAAAGAGATTGTGAAATCAATGTTTTAAAAATGTTTTGCTCAATTGTAAAATTATAGAAAAAATGGAAATATTTATTTTTAAAAAATTAAAAAGTAACCTTCGAACGACTATTAAAAATCAAACTAATGATATCTTATATGCTTTCTTCGAAACTATAAAATTTTTACACGAAACATTTTACAATGAAAACTTAATTTTCGATAAATTTTAATGCATTTTTAAATAATCCACTCCGTGTGTGTGTGTGTGTGTGTGTGTGTGCGCGTGTGTGTGTGTGCGTGTGTGTGCGTGTATTGTATATGTATAATATATTTAAAACTTAACATTTAAAACTCTCTAAATATTATATTATATGTATAACATTTAAAAATATTTTTCATAAATTATAAATTGATTAATTGCAATGATCGAATATAAAATACAGAATGGAATTAATGCAATAGTAACTTTTTACAGTACATGTTACAATCTTTGTAGAGCACAAATCTTGCTAAAGAAAAAATTATTACCTTTTCTTCATCAATATTTGTGTATATAAAGAATTAAAATAACTCTTGAAAAAAAATTAAACTAAAACTAAAGAATTCAGATTAATTTTTTCAAAAACTGTCAAAAATCAATTAAGACATTTACGTTCGTTATCTTTCGATTGTTGTATACTCAAATCAGACTCATTGCCGTTCCAACATACTGAAAAACGTATTTAAAAAATGTATGAATATTATTCGACTGATCTTGCCTGAAATATTACTATTTATAGATAAATTTATTGGAAGCGAAAACAAATTGAATCTTTTACATTCATGGTATATAAATGAGACAGTTGTGATCTGGAGACAAATAAAGAACAACGTAAATACTGTTCAAACCATGACTAGAAATTGAAATTGAGAGATTGGACTGGAATTTAAATACAGTTCATTAAACTTGAGATTGATCTTTTTTTTCTTCCGATTGATTAAATTCCAATTCAATCTCAATCTCTTCTAATCATGGCTTTAAGAGATGAATCTTTAGTCCGATCATGGCTTTCAATAATTTCCATTTTATCATATTTAAATCTTCGACCCATTCATTGGCTCATTGAGAAATAAGATTTCATTTATCTCAATATCGTAAATCTTGATCTATTTTATATTTTACATATTATATAATATTTATTTTACAAATATTTCCTAGTACTACATACGTGTCATTTCCTTTCCATTCTCCAAAAAATTGATCTTACCGCGAGAAAAGAGATCAAACCGAGCTAGTCATGTTATTGGGCTGATTTTCGAAGCGTAAATGAAACAACCCTCCACAGACACTCGATTATCTTTGGTACAGTTTTCTGTTTTTCTTTTTTTTTTTTTTTTCAGGAGGTAGATAATATAGAACTGTCTTTCTCTCTATCGTAGAGTTAGACTTATGAAACGCGTACGATTAATAAATGCATCTCGTCTCGACCAAAGGAGAACGACAAAAAATCACTGCCTTAAAAATTAACATATTCGAGCGAATGATGGCTCGCCAAGCCAAATCTAAAAATGAAAAGAGATCGTGGCGAGTAGACAAGTCGCCGACGATTCGAAGTAATCTGCAAGATAGTGCGGTAGTTGGAAAAAATCTGTGTATTCGCCGTTTATGCAGTAATACATACACGTTAAATTGATTCACGTGCATTTAACATTCCGACAACGATTTAATGTTCCGTGACGAATATTCATAATTATGACAACGTTAATCGCTGAGACTATAATGCCTATCGGCAGCCGAATCTTTTGTGAAACTTGCCTGGCATTACAGTAAGTAATCGTAAAATCGTTTATGTAAATGCTATCCTTTGAAAAACAATTGATCAATAAATGATCGTACCGGTTTCTCCGGTTCAACATTGAATAAACTTTTTAATTTCGATACAAGATCAACGTGCGCATGAAGATAAATGTGTCTATATAAATCTACGCTTATCTACATGATATGAAGCTTCGAAAGCTTACTCGAACACCGCGAGATCTCGTCTCATCGTCGGTATGTAAGTATGTAACAGCTAACAAAATAATGCGTTCCATTTGGTAACACAAGTTTCTGTCTTTGTTACTCTATGAATGTCAAGAAAGATAATGATGTTGCGTCAACTTGTGTCACCCAGTGTATGCGTGTGTGCGTGTATGCATAGGCGCGCGCGCGCGCGTGTGTATGTGTGTGTGTGTGTGTGTGTGTGCGTGTGTGTGTGCGCGCGCGTGTGTGTGTGTGTATGTGTGTGTATGTGCGTGAGTGCGTGCGTGCGCGCGTGCATATATTTTATTTTTTCTATCTTTTTCTACCTTTTTTTTTTCAAAAAAACGAGATACGAGCGATGCTCAAGCATCATCGATACAACATGATGCGATTCTCTCATCAGAAAAAATTAGTGATTGATTAATTAATAGAGAAATATTAGCGAGCCACCATCCTGGGTGCCTCTAACAAAATATCTGTCTACCTTTAACAAAATATCACCGCGTATGCATGCGTATGATAAACTTTAAAGATACGAACACAATAGAAAGAATAAGAAATTTCGTCGACCGCGGTTTTTCTTAAAAAATTCTCAAATGTATATTTGGAAAAGAACTTGCGACATGCGGTATTCTTCATTTCATTCTCTTACCTCGTTTCAACTTTCAACGATATAAAGAAATGAGCTTTTCAATTAGGAATAATAATTAATCGATCGTAATGAATCATAATGTGAGCGCAACTTTAATTAATCCAAGGGAAAATTAAGAACGAAAAAGAAAAAGAAAGAACTCGCGATATACTGCTGCAGTGATACCTAATTCTATACTCGCGAAAGTATCATGCGAAAGTGTATATTAACAGTGATGTGTAAATCTGACGCGGTGCAATTATACGAAAATGGTCCGATTGGCGTACACTGTTGTACAGATAAACAATTGTGTGACGCCGAAGACGAAAGACATTTCGAAATTCGATTTCGAAGACACAAGAGCGCGCAGCGATGTACATACACATGTACTTTCAACTATCAGAAGTTTGATCGCGCGCCTGCTACGATCTACCAAAAAGCGGAGAACAGATTCCGACATCATTCAATAAGATTCGGTTTCCCAGTTTTAAAAACTTTTCTTAGAAAAAGAAAATGCAACGGGAGAATGCGACGATGGCGCACATCTCTTTCGGAATTGAATCATTCTTTGACTCGTCGCAGAAGAATTCGGATTAATCTTTCCACACGTAGAAAAGAAAAATCCAAAGATTCTAAGGCGTAAGTGCGCTCTACTGCGAGTATTACTATTACAATTGTTATATTAATTATTATTGGTGCTGATTCTCGTCGTTTTCCTCCTGCGATATGATGCTCGACCTGTTGGAACGCACGTCGAGATCCATTGCGAAGGGTTTCGTCGAGTTGCCGAGAAGCACCTGCGTGCTCTGACTGTCGTCGAGACTCAGCGAACACTCCAGCGAACTGTCACTGAAAGTACAGAAACAGATTTCTACTCGTCACTAGCGCCTTCGCGGATCGTCCCGGGCTGAACACGTGGTTAGCTCACTTTGACAATCGGTAACCGATTGAATTTACCTGACGATACTGGCGCGATCGACCGAACTACCGCCACCAACGGTCGGCACCGTACAGTTTTCGCCATTGCACGGTCGCTCGCCGTTACTACTGCAAGAGGAAGTTCTGGTACTGGTACTGCCGGTGGTAGCTGTGACGGCGACAGCTGTAGCCGTTGCCACCGCTACCTCCCGCATGGACGCCCGCCTAGATTCCTCATGGCACTCGCACTTGCACTCTTCCGGTTGCACATAGTTATAACTACTGCTGACAGTCTTTGCGATCTCATCCTCTGGCCGCGGTATCGTCTGTATCCGTTTCGGTGCTTTTCGCTTCTCTGGTATCTCTTCAAAGTTGATCCAGTTGCTTAGCCGTGCTGCTGCTGTCGCTGATGTTGCCGATAATGATGATGATGATGACGATGCTGCTGATGCTGCTGCTGCTGCCGCTGCTGTTGCCGTTGCTGCTGCCGCCGTTGTCGCTGTTAATGCTGTTGTTGATGCTCTCGGTGGCAGTGGAGGTGGACTAGGTGATTTCCCTTGATTAGTAGCGCCTTTGCGACCGCCATCCGGCGGCACCTTGCCTGCAAATTCTGTGAACGTATTCGCTGTACTGGTGTATTGCCGTCGTGGACTTTTCAACTTGAAGCTATCCTCTCGCGGCAGAGATATTTTCATCCGCTCCACGCGCCTTTCATCCAGCGATGTCTGCATTACAAACTCATCCAACAAGGTCGGATTTATTGGCGTTGTTGAGCGCGGTCTCTCGATTGGAATTGTTCTGATAACAAACAACATGATATAATCCAGTTATTAATATAAATAAAAAATTGTTAAAAATTTCTCCTCTATGTGTAATGTAATATTAATAGTTGATTTTCATGTTTAACATTAATATTGAATTACAAAATAATTAAACTCGAACAACTTTATATTTATAATTTAATATCGTGTACATACAATGATGTTCCGTTACAAAAACTAACAAGTTTTGTCAACATGTTCGAATGAACATGGTTAATTCTAAGCAAGAGTTCATGTACATGGGTTGATTCTTCATTCCCAAGATATGAGCATGTTGTACAAGGCACCATAATAAAAGCTCTTCGATTCCACGTGACAATCATTTATTGATATGAAATTATATTACCATTAATCACATTACAATTATAATTACATTTATTTACACTCGATAAATTGTCTTCCTGTTCACAAATATTATTTAAATTGTTCATCTTGCTGTAAATATACCCAGTCTGACCTAGTTTCTCCATTGATTACAATATCATGACAGATGCTACCTGCAGCTTCCGTTATCACCTATTCTCATATTTCTCGCAGGAATGCAGTAACTGGACATTTTACGTTCGGATACTTCTGGTGCATTTTTATTTCATATCTTGAGAACAAAGCCGAATCAATCCATGATATGTATAATAATTCATTTGCTTCTTAGACTATTTAAACATGCTGATAAAACTTGTCAGTTTTTCCTAATGAAAACATCCTGCATATTGTTCGCATGTGTCGTAATTTCCACATTTTTATTTGAAACAATTACCTTACTTCCTGAAGTCGTTGTTTAACTGGTAGAATGGGTACAGCTACGCTCTTCTCTAATGGCAGGGTCGTCGGTATATATGGAAGATCCTCTTCAAAACTCTCCTCATAGAAGAGACCCTTTCGCTCGTCTGGTAGCTCCTCGGTCAGTTTCTCGACCTTATTGCGAATAAATTCAATCTCCGAATCTCTTTCGGATTCGGAACTGTTATGATCCAGATCGGATATCATACTGGGCGCTTTTACTAGACCTTCCTGTTCTAACGATTTGCCAATCTTATCATCGAAGTGATCGAGTCTTTTAGTTTCTTGAGCAGCTCGAGAAGGCTCACCCGAGCTTACTCTTTTCTGTTGCATCGCTACATCGTCGCTTATCCTCTCAGATAGTTTTGGTTGCTGCTGCTGATTCTCTTTGCTTTTTCTCTTCGGTTTTGTTATGTCCAGTTTTTTGCCGGTAGACTCTCTCGATAAGCCACCAGGCAACGTTCGTAAGTCTGTCGATTTAATTTCCGATGTAATCGCCGGTTTAATATCTGGTTTAATCGTAGTCGATGACTTGGCTAGTGGCGACGTTCCGACTATTTTGTTAGCCTGCGCGCTGATTTTCGAGTCCCTTAACGAACTTTTTAGTGTATTCGAATCTTTTGGCTCGCTCTGCGACAGCTGGCTATTTCTGGACAAACTTCTGGATGCAATTTGCGTAGCTGTAACCGTCTCAATCTGCGCCTCGGTCCTAATCTTGGCAATCGACGATGGATGGTGCTCAATAGACACCTCTGTGATTATACTACTCGTATGCGGTCCCTCAGACTCGTACTCATCCAGTAATTTGGTCGGTGTTTCCAATGGTATCGAGACACTCTCTGATGGCAAGGCTTCCTCGTAATTTCTGTCATCAGCATGCAGACTAATAAAGATCGAATCATCCTGATGATTCTTTTCCTTTTCCATGTTGAATGTAAACTCTACGTGACCAATGCTCTCTAGAGACGGGTGTTCATCTCCACTAGCGACTTCAAGATCGCACGAAGCCGCGATTACCTCATCGTAGCTCTTCTTCCTTTCACGTTTTTTAAATAAACTCAGCGTAGACGAAAACACTCCTTTATTCTTCGAATCTTTTTTCAAGATCGAACCCTTGTCAACAGAAACTCTTTCGCGTGACTTTGAACGACTTCTCAAACTCTCTGTAGTATCCTTCAATTTCGATGTCAGACTCCGTCGTGGCTTTGTGCTAGGTGATGGTGATTCTGGGCTCAATACGTTACCTTCGGCTCTAGTCTATTTAATTATAAATACAATGGTCAATGATATATGATGACAATATATTCAGCAACTTGGTAGAAAATCATATATTAATATATTAAGTTAATATATTAAGTTAATATATTAAATACGTAACAAAATTGTCGTTTTTTTTTGTTTTAATCAAATTCTATTTTAAATAAAAACTGTAAAATGTTTTAGAAAGACGATAAAATGAGAAAATATCTGAAAATGACTATAATGATTATTTTACACACACAAGAATCACTTCAAAATTATTTAATACATCTCACAATTTATTTTTGAAAATTCAGCATAATACAACTAATTTTTCTCTTTTCTTTGTTAATTACTAATAAAAACCGCAAAAATTGTATATTAAGTAGATTTTATGTATGTACCTTAAATAATGAAGCGAAACTACTTTTTCTAGATACAGACGATGGACTGGGTGTTCGCGAACCTTCCAAATCACGAACTTTTTGATGTCTCGGCAATTTGGGACTTCCAGTAAGACTACCTGTCGTAGGCGTCTGAACAATCTCCTTAAAGTTTTGAGCTTTTTTCCTTTTGTCGTTAAAATCAAGTGTCGCAGGTTTCTGAACTTCTTGTATTTGAATCTTTGATTGATATTGCTGTTGTTGCTGCTGTTTCTGCTGTTGATGCTGTTGTTGCATTATCGATCCTTGTTGTTGGCCCGATTTTTTGATGATCGGAACCTATCTCATACATATACACACACAATACGAGAAAAGATATAATATATTTAGCTTTCAATCTCGTTTTCAAAAACAAATATTCATTTACATTTACATTCACAGGAACATTTTAATGATATTTTCAATTTAGCATATATTCAAAAGAAATTCGTTTATATTTCGATTAGTAAGATTAATGATAGATCAAAAAAAAAAAGAAGAAAAAAAGTTTTAGGATATTTTTGCGCTATTACATGCCCATGTTTTATTCTAACGATACAGATAAAATTCCGATAAAATTCAATTTAATAAAGTTCTATAATAAAACAATATAATTTACTTAAGAAAAATAAAAAGATTCTAATTTACGAGAGAAGACTCGCAAATATTGCCAGGATATTTCTCGATAGAATATAATGTAATATCAGGTAACTGAAAAACAAGAACTTAACACAGACAGAACCAACCTCTATATTAACTTTCTCCAAAAATCTTTTAGTAATTTCCACTTCTCGTTTGAAGATTTCTTTCCGCTCCTCACGACCGCGTCTTCTGGGCTTATCCAACGGATCTGGCTTCAGATTGCCACCTACCATAGGCACTTTAATACTCTCGGGAATCAACGCCTTCGTAGTATCGGCCTCCCGCTTCAAGAGTATTTTCTCGAGATCATCAGTCTCCGGTTTCGACGGCTCTATTAGATTGTCAGCCAACGTCGGCTTGCTTCCGCAGAACGACGTCTCCAGTAGACATTTGTGAGGACTGGGAGATCTGGGAAGGAAATTTATCAACAATTCTTGTTTTATCTTTCTCATATTACACTGTATAATTTTTCTCAGCAAAACTTTTTTCATTTTCCGTTAATAAACCTTTGAGAAGGTCAAATAAAATAAACGGGAACTTTAAATTTTAAGCTTTGCGTATAAGTAGCAAATAATAATTTAAATAATGCGATAATTTTATTCTTTAATCAATTTCTGGCGTATATCGATGTAGCAAGAGAAACTTCAATTACAAAACATAAAAGAAAGTTAATAATAAATTCTAGAGTGAGTCGGCAACGTTGAACGAGATTTTCGAAAGTAATACAGTTCGATTCTCTTAAAGAACAAAATTTTGCGCCAGTAGATGTTTATATATATTGCATATATAATGAAGATGAAAATACGTTATATTGTTATATATATA